ATGCTCACCAAACTCCATCATGAAAGTCCCAACAGCTAGGTGTAAAATGCCAAGCACACATAGTGTCTATGTGACAGGAAAGCTGGATGGCTAAAAGTGCAACTTTGTCATAGATTCTGCGTCTCAGCAAACTCTTGTGAGTATCAAGATGCTGGATCATAAAGGAGTACCAGAAGCCATGCAGAAACTTTGTAGTGTGACAGGACATTATGCAAGGTTGTGGGGACCAGTATGGGTAACTATTGAGCTAATAGGCATAAAGGATAGACACAAAGTATACTTGGCTGACATTAAAGACGAATGCATATTAGGATTGGACTACTTACTACCAAGGAAGTTTGTAATTAATTTTGATAAAATGACGTTAGGGAACAACAAACACCAAATTCTGATAACTGTTAAAAGAGAGGTTGAACTAACCAGGTGCCATCAAGCTGAAGTGAAAGTGACTGAAGGAGTTGATGTGGGTGAAATGGAACTAAATATAGATATCAAAGCAGATCAGGAGAAAGATTAAGTTTTGAAGCCAATAATTGATTTTTTCAAAGCAAGTGTTTCGTGCCCTGCTTGGGAGAAGGTGTCTAGTCTAAGCCCTGTGAGCAAAGCACTATTGGGTGCAATGGGACCAGTTAAAGCTTGCAGATAGTATTCTTGTACGGAGATGGGAAACTGCAGATGGGAAAGTGACGACCTTGCAAACGGTTATACCGAGAAAGTTATGGGAAGTTGTGCTGCGTCAATCCCATGATACTTTAATAGGAGGACGTCTTGGAGTTAAGAAAACATTGAGTCACCTACGACAGAGATTTTACTGGATAGATATCTGGCAAGATGTGGAAGAATGGTGCAGGACATGTAGTACATGTTGTGCTAAAAGGGGACGTGCTCCATAGAAGTTATATCAAGCTGGTGCACCAATGGAAAGAGTAGCCATTGACATTGCTGGTCCTTTGACTCAAACTCGTGTTGGAAACAAGTACATTTGTGTGGTGATGGATTATTTCACCAAGTGGCCTGAGGCATATGCAATACCAAATAAGGAAGCTACATCTGTAGCTTCAGCTATTAGTGATTTCTTCTTCAGATTTGGTATGCCATATGAACTGCATTCAGATCAAGGCCGTTACTTCGAATCAGCTGTGTTCCAAGAATGCTGCAAGTTGTTTGGCATCCAAAAGATCAGGACAACGCCACTTCACCCACAGTCCAATGGGA